CAACTAAGCCCATACATGGCCCATAACCACTGATACTACTAGTTATGCTTTGTGTCTAGATGTCATCCCAAAACCTCATGTGGTCATAGGCTTTTTCTGAGGTGCTAAATCTAGAGTGTGTCATGCTGGGATTAAGGGCATGTGATTACTAAACCACATGATTGGTTTAGCACCCCTCAAATCCTGGTAGTCTGAATAAGATAAAAGGGGCAGGAAGATACTCTTAAGGTGTCTTGTTGCTTTTGCTGCTTCCACTGCCATGAACTATCACCCCTCTGTCACCCTGCCTTGGAGCCAGCCAATTATTGACTGAAACTTCTACAAATTGTGAGCCAAATAAACTTTGCCCCCTTTAACTTTGGTTGTTGAATATTTTGTCTCAGTAATGAGAGAAAGGTAACTAACACAGAAATCTGGTACCACAAGTGGGGTTATTGCTGTGACATTAGCTGGCCATATGGCTCAAGAGCCTCTGGGACTGGCTTGTGGGAAGGGGAAGAGTTAGGAAAGGTTCAAAGATGCTGGGTGAAGAAGTAGAGCTGAAACACCTTAGGCTGCTCTGTGTGGTAGATTCTTGTCAGAGCTCAGAAGACCAAAAACCCAGTAAAGACCACGCTCGGGAGGTTTCTGCTGGGAAGAAGGACTGCACTGGCTGTTGGGCTCCAGATGATGTGTGCTATGGCTTGGCAGAAAGTTTGTCTGCATTTTGTTCATGTCCAAAGACTTTGCCTGAGACTAAGACTAAAGGGAGTGGACTAATTAATCTTGCAGAAAAAAACTTCAAAGCAGTCTAATGTTGAGGCAGTAGCATGGCTACTGTTGGCGGCTTTTAGCCAGATCTATGTTGAGAGTCAAGAGCAGAGAGGCCAGCACAATGATTTAAAACGTTTTTAGTTTGGCCAGAAAGGAAGTTCTAGTAAAGCTGTGAACTACAAAAATAGAGCAGAGGTCTTGAATGTTGAGAAAAAACAGAAGGATAGAAAAGATGGCCTAGGGGCATCACAGGAAGCAGCACAACTCCACACTTTGCAGCCTCAGAGTTGTAAAGGTGAAAGAATTTGCTTTGCAAAGAAAGCACCAGAGGACCATGTTCCAGAATGGTGGCAGCCTAGAGAATTTGCTCCTCATAATTGGATTCAGGGCTATTGCACTCAACCCCTAAGCCAAGAGAGAGGGAAGCCTGGCTACTGCTCCAGCTGGCAGCTGACCATGGTATAATCCATGTGGCACTGATTTTAGGCACATACAGAATGGAAGAGGTGTGGGGTCAGGAAGGCTGCCACCCAGATTTCAGAAGAAGGCCTTGGAGGCCAGACAGTGTGCCCCTGAGAGTGTAATGTGTGAAGCTGTGAGTGTGAAGCCAAAGATGCTGTGGAGACCCCAGAAGTTTGGAGAAGTCAGGAACATGGATTGCCTGAGGAAAGCTGTAAAAAGGGAGCACAGCCAGCCCAAGAGAAAAGCCATGGGAGCTACAACCACCAGAAGTGCCATAGGGGCAGAGCCACCAAAGCCCTTTGGAGTTCACAACTTGCCAGAGATTGCTGGGGATGCTGGAAGTGTAACTGCAGGATTTAATGTTTCCACTGATGGATTTTGGATTTGCTTTGGTCTCATTCCTTTGTATCCATCTGTCCGTAGCTTTTGGAATGGAAATGTCTATCTTGTGCCATTGAATGTTTTGGAAGCATTTAACTTTCTTTTCATTTGTACAGGGGCTTGCAGCTAAGATTTGTCTTAAATCTCAGAGGAGACTTTGGACTTGGACTTTTCAACAATGCTGAAACTGTTAGGACTTTGGCAACTTTTAGAGATGGACTAAATGCTTTTTTGCATAAAGGAATGTGCATGAGTCTTTGAAGAATCAGGGGAGGAATGTTATGGTTTTTGTCTAGATGGACCCCCCCCACACACACACACCAAAGCCTCATGTGGTCATAGGCTTTTTCTGAGGTGCTGAATGTAGAGTGTGTGGTTCTGGGATTAAGGGCATGGAATTACTAAACTGCATGAGAGGTTGGTTTCTCAGCCCCTAAACCCAGTGGTCTGAACAAGAAAAAAGGGCCAAGGAGATACTCTTAAAGTCTCTTGTTGCTTTTGCTGTTTCTGCAGCCATGAACTATTGCCCTTCTGCCACCTTGCTTGGAGCCAGCCGTTTATGGGATGAAACTTCTACAAACTGCAAGCCAAATAAACCTTTCCTCCTTTAATTTGGGGTGTTGGTTATTTTGTCTCAGCAATGAGAGAAAAGTAACTAACACACTACTCTAACCTTCCAAGCCATTTGCATTCAACATAATCTGTCCTCTGGTATATCACTAGGACATCTACTCCTCCACCAGTGTAACTATACACTACTATTTCTGGTATCAAGCAACTATATCAATGACCAGGTTACTCAGGATGCCCCATTCACTCAGCCTGTTCATTGTTTTGGCCCTCCAAAAGTTATAACAACAATACTGCTACATGAACAGGGTTCTGCAACACCCACCATTTCCCATGCATACCTTTACTCCCATGAGTCCCTTGTTATAAATCTCTCACTTGCTCAGATTGTCTCTTCTTGCCTACCTTTAACCATTCCTCACAATGTGTTCTAATAGGCAGTAAAAGATTTTTCCTACAGTGGGAAAATAAGACAATAGGCGCCAGTCAAATCTCCTGCCAGCCACTGACAGGTGCTGCTCTGGCAGGCACCCTTAGCATGTAGGAAAGAGAAAACAGAAAACAAAAAAGTCACCTACCTCTTTAACCAATCCACAACCAATTCTGTTGTTCTTTAACTTTAAATCCACATCCAATTCTGTTTACCCAGCCAACGCGTCTTTTTCCTTTGTGGGATTCCCACCTACTTGTGCCTTCCCACTAACTGGACCAGCACTTGCACACTGTACCTTAGCCCAAATACAGATACTGCCCCAAGAAACCAGAGCCTGCCTGTCACCGTTACAGCCAGGTCTGACAGCATAGAGTCATACACTTAATGGCCTTGCTTGTTGGTCTAGGCCTCACTGCTCCTGTAGGGACTGGCAAGGCAGGTTTAACTACTTCACTAACCCAGTATCACTTTCTCCCTCAAGATCTTTCTGACAGCCTCAAAGAAATAGCCGATTCCATTCTCACTTTACAGAACTAGACAGACTCCCTAACAGCAGTGGCTTTACAGAATGGACAAGGCTTGGATCTTCTAATTGCTGAGAGAGACAGATTATGCATCTTTCTAGGAGAAGAATGTTGTTTTTATTCCAATCAATCAGGCATAGTACGGGATGCAGCTAAGAAACTAGCAGACAAGGCCTCAGAAATTAGAGAGCACTTGTTTAACTCATGGACTGATATTTGGGACTGGATTACATGGCTTCTTTCATTTACTGGACCTGCCTGTATCATTCTCCTCCTATTTGGGCCATGCCTCTTCAAACTTCTTTCACAATTCTTACAGGATCACCCATATACAAACAATCACCAATAGACAGATGCTGGCCCTGGCCAGTCCTCTATATGCTCCCGTTCTCCAAGATTTTTCTTCCACATAGGCTGTCCTTACCACCCATTTGTCACACACAAAACAGCCATGAGAAACTCTGTTCACTTCCCTGGCCCCCCCGCCCCCTTTCTGTATATAACAACAAAAAGACCGGGAACGTCAGGCCTGGCCTAAGTTAGATCTTCACAAACAAACAGGACAAAGCATACTGGCTGTTTCAGCAAATAACAGTCAATTTCTCAGTAAACAGGACAAATAAGTACATGACAAAACATACAATCTCTCTGAGAAGTCCAGCGACTGTCTACACACCTACACAGACTGTCCTTGGGCACCCAAGTCAAAAACACATTCCTTATTATAGCCTTCCCAAAACTCTATATAAGTGTAGTTTTCTTTCCCTGTTAGGTGTTAAACTCTATCCCAAATTTCAATCCCTGGTTCTAGTCCCTGTTCACTGGAATAAACTTTTCTTTTTCCTAAAAAAAGCCTGTCTCTGAGCAAGTGGTTCCACACCTGCCATTTATGACAATAATAACTTATGACATATCCATTCAGTAGCAATATTTTTTAAAAATATAAACAGTCTGTATATACTAATTCTGGGAGATCTTGAAATGAAAAAGAAAGGTGGAGAACTGTATATGGTATGTTATCTTTTACATAAAAAATAAAGTAATAAAATTATTGTTAGTTTGCATATATATAAACAAACTAGAAGTATTTAAAAGACAGTAATAATTTTAAAACGTTAGAAAATTTGGGAGAAATTGTGTCAAAGTACACTTTATTCCTCTGTTGAAATTTAAATTTACTAGTAATTAAAGAAAAGCAAGTTAAAATACACATTAAGGGAAAAATATTGGTATAGCTGAACACTCAAACATTATGTGTGACAATATTTTGGACACAATGACTTGAATAGCTTACCAAACATTACCCAAAGCAAGGTAGTTTTGTGCACAAATTCTTTAAGTTTATTACCTATTCTGTAAGGCAATGGAGGACAAGAAAATATATAGCCATGGGCAAACAATAGGTAAAATATCATGTATGGTTACTAGAAAATTGTGTAACCATTTGAAACATAGTGAGTACAAAAGCATGAAAAAATTATTTATGATGCCATCACACTGCAAGCCAAAACTTCAGAATTTATAATTTATATACTGTGCTCTGGTCATAACTTAGTAGATACAAATAGTAAGCTTTAGCTATTTTTTAAAAAATGGAACTATGAACCAAAGTTATAACTGAGGTGTCTACTAATTGAGAAAAATTCTTAAATGTTTTATGGTTAAAAAAAAAAAGAAAAGAAAAAGAAATCCAAGCATCCTCCTAGGACCTTTTCTGCCAGGTTTCTACTAGATTTATAGAAAAGCCGCATTTCCTTTTTATTCAGACAAGTCAGGAAGTGGAAATCTCAAAGAAAAAGCAGACCCGGAAGAGGGAAGCGCTTAGACCCCGAGCAAATTTTATAGCAAAAGCACAGCATAAAAGCACACGCACTCACTCCATCTACTTGGCCTCGCCCACACCAGGGCACAAAAGCCCAGCATGGCCCCGCCCAGAACCTCGCAGCTTCCTCAGCCTCTCGGCCTCCCCGCCCCCCGCGCACACTGCTCCCCCCAACCCCACGAACCCGCCGACGGGTGAGGCCGGACGCCCGCGCAGGCGCAGTAGTTTCACAGCCGCTCCTACCCCGGGGGATCCTGGGAGTAGTCCTTTCCGGAACAACTCGTTTAGAGTCTGGGATTAAGCTGGTGTTCCAGGCTCGGGTTCCAGGCCCAGAGGGGTATTCCAGAACCTTGCTCGAAGATAGGCTGGTGGCGGCGGCGACACTCTGGTAACAGCGGAGGGCGCAGCGGGCCCCGCACTGAGGTGCTGGGCCTCTTCGCGGAGCGAGCCGCGGAGCTCTAGGACGTAGAGGCGCCTCCTCCCTGTGTCTCAGCGGAACTGCTAAAGGAGCGGCAGCACAGGCCGGACGAGGTGAACCGGGTCATTTAACTGCTTCAGGTGATGAGTCAACAACCTAATAAGCTGATTTGAGGTCCACGGGCCTTTGTGGACAGCTTCCAGTGCATGACTGGCGTATCTCAAGGGCTACTGCAGTGACTGCTTACCCTTAATAAACGTGAGCTCTTTTGCTCTTTGGCGTTATTTCCTGTGAAGCTTTCAGGTTAGAATTTCTTTCTCAGTCAAGAGGAAGGCTTTCACATGAAAGTGTCTCTTGGTAACGGCGATATGGGTGTCTCTGCCCACTTGCAGCCTTGCAAGGCAGGAACCACACGATTTTTTACCAGCAATACTCACAGTTCGGTGGTATTGCAAGGCTTTGATCAGCTAAGAATAGAAGGATTGCTTTGTGATGTGACCCTAGTACCGGGTGATGGAGATGAAATTTTCCCTGTTCACCGCGCTATGATGGCGTCTGCCAGTGATTATTTCAAGGCTATGTTCACGGGTGGAATGAAAGAACAAGATTTAATGTGCATTAAGCTTCATGGGGTGAACAAAGTTGGTCTGAAGAAAATCATTGACTTTATATATACTGCAAAACTTTCTCTTAATATGGACAGTCTTCAGGACACACTTGAAGCTGCCAGCTTTTTACAAATTTTGCCTGTTTTGGATTTCTGCAAAGTATTTCTTATATCAGGAGTCTCTTTGGATAATTGTGTTGAGGTTGGACGAATTGCTAACACCTATAATCTTATAGAAGTGGATAAATATGTTAATAATTTTATCCTGAAGAACTTTCCTGCTTTATTGAGTACTGGGGAGTTTCTAAAACTTCCTTTTGAACGGCTTGCCTTTGTGCTTTCCAGTAATAGTCTTAAGCATTGTACTGAACTTGAACTCTTCAAGGCTGCCTGCCGGTGGCTGAGGTTGGAAGACCCTCGTATGGATTATGCCGCAAAATTAATGAAGAATATTCGATTTCCACTGATGACACCACAGGACCTCATCAATTATGTGCAGACAGTCGATTTCATGAGAACAGATAATACCTGTGTGAATTTGCTTTTGGAAGCTAGCAATTACCAAATGATGCCTTATATGCAGCCAGTGATGCAATCAGACAGAACTGCCATTCGATCTGATTCTACTCACTTGGTTACATTAGGAGGGGTTTTGAGGCAACAGCTGGTTGTCAGTAAAGAATTACGGATGTATGATGAAAGAGCTCAAGAGTGGAGATCCTTAGCTCCTATGGATGCTCCTCGTTACCAGCATGGCATTGCCGTCATTGGAAACTTCCTTTATGTAGTTGGTGGTCAGAGTAATTATGATACAAAAGGAAAAACTGCTGTTGATACAGTTTTCAGATTTGATCCTCGGTATAATAAATGGATGCAGGTAGCATCATTAAATGAAAAGCGCACATTCTTCCACTTGAGTGCCCTCAAAGGACATTTATATGCAGTTGGTGGGCGCAGTGCAGCTGGTGAACTGGCCACAGTAGAATGTTACAATCCAAGAATGAATGAATGGAGCTATGTTGCAAAAATGAGTGAACCCCATTATGGCCATGCTGGAACAGTGTATGGAGGCTTAATGTATATTTCAGGAGGAATTACCCATGATACTTTCCAAAATGAGCTCATGTGTTTTGATCCGGATACAGACAAATGGACACAGAAGGCTCCAATGACTACAGTCAGAGGTCTGCATTGCATGTGTACAGTTGGAGATAAGCTCTATGTCATTGGTGGCAACCATTTCAGAGGAACAAGTGATTATGATGATGTTCTAAGCTGTGAATACTATTCACCAACCCTTGACCAATGGACACCAATTGCTGCTATGTTAAGAGGTCAGAGTGATGTTGGAGTGGCTGTTTTTGAAAACAAAATCTATGTTGTTGGTGGTTATTCGTGGAATAACCGCTGTATGGTAGAAATTGTCCAGAAGTATGACCCAGAAAAAGATGAGTGGCATAAAGTTTTTGATCTTCCAGAGTCACTTGGTGGCATTCGAGCTTGTACCCTCACTGTTTTTCCACCTGAAGAAAACCCTGGGTCACCTTCTAGAGAATCACCTCTTTCAGCACCTTCAGATCATTCTTAGGTCTGAGCTGTAATAAGTTTGAAGTGCAGTCATGGATAATTTCATACTTTCAATTGTATCTTGATTGATAATTATCACACAAAAACGTAACATGTTATTTGTCTTGTTTGGCTTAGTATGTTTATCAAATGGTTAACAAGTGCATTGTGAAAATGTATTGAACATATCTAGCTATTTTAACAAATGAAAAATGTAGAAAAAAGGCTTAAGTTAGATATCTTTTTGTGGTGTTACATAGTCAAATTGTAGGTGACTGTAGTAAATGTGTACTTATGTCCATTACGCTTCAAAGCTGAAAATTTTTATCTGACTGAAAAGCATCAATGGCGGCCACCTGGTCTAATCTGAAAAAATAAAAGGTTGTCATGTATTACTAGCTGCCCCCCTCCTTGCATAGAGTGTTTCACATATCTGTCAGCTATTTTAATTGTGTGGCTGCACTCAGAATATATGAAGTTTAGCTGAATAACCTAAAGTCAGGATTTGGAATCTCTAAAGAGAAAAAGGAAAAAAAATATGTATGCACAGTACAAATACACATGCACACATATGCATAAGTACTTGTGTATAAATATATGTAAAATTTTGAAATTGATTAGCATTCCAGCTATAGTAAAATTTTTAACTTTTTTCTTCCACAGAACAGCTGTTTCTATTTAAATGGAAATTCATTATCAGAAAATGTCTGTATAGTCATATAGAATTTAGATAGCTAAAGGCTACAGTATATTAAATGGACAACCAGATTTGTCATGCGACTAAATTGTTACTTCAGATGAAGCTTAATATTACTTTTTCTGCTTGTATATTGTTTTTTGTAGAGTTGTTTTTGTACAGATTATTTACCAAAGTTCAAATTTCAGAATTGTTTCTGCTCAGTGAATTTAATTTTGCTTTTTTTGACCTTTTCAGCAACATTTATGATACAAAAAAGGCAAAGAAATATTGTGAACAAAGATATAGGATTTTAAGTTCAGTCTCCCAATTTAGTATTCTGACATGATTATTTTGAATTTGGGGTTGATTGTTGTGGTGCTGTTCCAGCCCATGTTATATCCTGAGCTGTGTAATTTGCCTCAAGGCTATGATCTGAGCAAACAAGAGATATACTCTCTTCTGCATCAAATCAGAAAAATGTCCTTTCAGTCCTGTCTCCAGGACAGGACCAACTTCAGATTCCCTAAGAAGCCAGCTACAGAAAGGTTAGAACAGTTTTGTCTTGCAGTCAGTACTAAAATAGATCTTCAGCTGCTTCAATACCAAGGGTTGAGAATTAATTACATGGGGGAAATTTTATAGCAATCTTACTAGCAAATGGAAATTATAAGAGTCCTCTGTAATGCGCGATTCTAAAGAGGTGCTTTCATGGAATAATTGTCTCCCTGAAGAAAAAAAATGCATATATGTATATCCCTGTATCTGGGAGATTGTCAAGAGTGTAAATCAGGATCTCTATCCACAATCCCATAATAAAACTCAGAAACAGAGGCAAAAGGAATTGGCTTCTAGGGATCTGAATCTTACAGCCTATTCAAGTATTGATTCATTTTAATGCTTTTTGTGATTTCTGCATTGGCAGAAATTTTTACACTTTGTTTTTTTTAACAATTCAGTTTTATATTACTAAAAATAGTACATTTGAGTACATTTAGAAAATAGAAAAAGTAGAATTTGCTATTAACTATATTGAATAAGCAAGAAATGACATTCCAACCATTCTTTGATTATTAATGAGATTGAATATTTGTGTATTTTGTGTAGCTGTGTTTCTTCCTTGGTCAAGTGTTCATGTCTTTTGCCCTTGTGATATCTATTGGAGTTACTTTGTTTTCATATCAAGTTATAGGATCTGTTTATCTAATAAATATAATTTAACTGACATTTGCTTGCTTTGATTTTTTTTCCTCAATCTATTATAATTTTACAAACGGAGGACCATTCAGTTAAGTTTGAGATCAGATTTGTCCATCTTTTTTCATTTTAACCTTTTGGAAATAACTTTATGATGTTTATTTTGACTGATTATTGATTATTTTTCATGGTGATACTGCCCTATTTGTCTTCTATTTTGCACAAGCTTTGCTCTTGTTGAAAAAAGTTTTTGCCTTCTATTACATTTGACCCTACTTCTTTGTAATTAAATGTTGCTTAACACATAAGCTGACTGCTTCATCTACATCAGCATACAGCCTTATATATATACCCTACCTCTCATCCCTTTCCAATTTTCTGCAGTTGACACCTCTCTGGTATGCTAATACTACTAATTAATCATAGAAGTCCTTACAGAGAGATGGAAATTTTAGGGGCTTTGAAGTGACTGGAAAGAGATTTATTTTCATAAACTGCTAATTTTTTATTTATTTTTTATTTTTGGCACCGGGGATCAAACTCGGGACCTTGTGCTTGCAAGGCAGGTGGCAGAACCACTGAGCTAAATCCCTGGGATACTGCTAATTTTTTAAAGAATTCAGACAAAATATTTAAATACAAACACAAAGCATGTTGACAATTGTGGTTTTCTAACAAGTTTTTGAAATGCAACATTTGTTAGCTTTTCTGATGTAAAAATTAGTTATGTCAATTATAGAGTAAAACAAAAGTAAAAAAGTATAAATTATCCATGACTCCATATGGCAAAGAGAACTTCTGTTAACAATAGGTGGTGTAGTATATATAGCACACACACACACATATATGTACAGACCTTTGTCAAATATACCAAACCCTGAGCTAAAATTAGATAATAAAAAAGTGACAAATTCAACTTCCAAAGACAGACTATCATGATTTTGCTCAATTTTTAATCTGCAGATACTAGAAAATAATATGTAAGGTATTTTTCCCTAATTACCAATGCATATGCAATAAGAAAAACATTTTTATTCAGGCAAATGAAGATGTGTTTTTCCCCTTGGCTAACAGTAGTGTTTACGTAGTTTACCTGCAAAGCATAGGTATTTGATTATGTTCAAATTTTTCTGCTTTGTAATTAAAATTATTTTGTTCTCATTATAACAAAATATATTTCTACAGAACATTTTTAAAGTTCATAAACATACCATAAAAGAGTTAAAAAACAATGTCCCATCAATAGCTCAACCACTTAATTACTGAAAGACCTTGGGATAAACTTACTTCATCTTCCTATCTGTGTGGTTTGTTGAGGTCGTTCATAATTGTATATATATTGGAGTCATAGATGTTATTAACATGAAAACTTGCATAGAGAAACATTCAGTAGCTAGTAGATGCTACTAATAAAGCTAGCATCCTTTCATCAATTTTTTAACTTTATCTTAGAGTTCTGTAGTAGGTTATTTGGAAGTGTTGTGTCTATACAATATTTCATTTCATGAATAAGCCATAATGTTTCACTTACTGTATTTGAGTACCCCAAATTTTCACCATTATAAATAAAGCAAGGTTTAATATGCCCATGTGTATCACCCTGCAATACATTCTGAGTAAAGTCTGAATAGTGTAAGCTTTTTTAGGCTCTTAAAACTTTCTAGGAATGTGCAGTATGCATTTCCAGCAGAACTTCATTCAGTGATTACTTCAAAGGGAATCTGTAATTCTACTTTTGATTTTAAAAATGACTGATAACATTTTCCTTTATTGTATTTTTTGCATATGGATCATTTCTTCCTAACTTGCTTTAACCAGTCTTTTTTCTATAAAGACTGTCTGCTTCCATTTATGACATTTTAATGGGGACAGTACTATTCAATTTAATGTGATCCAAATATGTCCATGTTTTTTACATTTTGGCCTTTTGGTGATAACTGCTGTTTTTTATGTTTTATTTTTTTAGTGAGTCCTATAGTATCCCATTATTTGGTATATATTTAAATGATTGAATAATGGTTAAAAGACGTATTTAAGGATATCTGCATATACTACAGAACTGCTGAAGTTGTGTTCCCTAACCATAATTTGGTTCAATAACCAAATGTACTAATATTCTAGAATACATAGTTCCTCTGTCTCTGAGCCAGTGTTTTCTAGAGGTTAATGTTATTCTGCCATCTACTGGATGAACTTGAAAATGCTTCTTTAGTCATTCCAGAAAATGTTACCTCATTTAAACAAAGCAACAGTAATAACAAAAATTAAAACTTTTTATAGGACATGTGAAAGTTAAGTCATTGATCATATCAATTACACAGAGTTTGCCAAAAAATTTATACACACTTCAGGAAAAGAAAAAATGTATAAATATTTTAATTTTAACTAAATTTATCAAGACACCATGACATTAATACAAGTTACCTTTGGCCTCTACAATTTCAAGAGGTGCTCAAAGTGGTGGCCATGAGCTTCCAGACATTTATTAATATGGCAAACTGTTGCTCGGGTAACCTTGGTTATTGAGATTGCTGCACATGGATTTTCAATTTCTTCTTAAGACCCACTAGTGTAGTGGGTTTTCTGTGATATACAATATCCTCTAGGGTCTTCCATTCGAGGATAACACCATCTGTTGAAAAAAAAATCATAGTATTTTTCTTTTCCTGAAGTGTGTATACATTTTTTGGGCAGACTTTGTATAAGTAAATATAAAAACCTATGGTAACTTGGTGTCTAGTAGGTCACATAATCAGAGAGAACACCATGCCTATAATCCCAGCACTCTGGGAGGCTAAAAAGGATTGGAAGTTTGAGGCCATCTGAGGCAGTTTAGTGAGACTGTGGCTCAAAATTAAAAAGAGGCTGGGGTGTAACTAAGTGTGAAGGCCTTGAGTTTAATCCTCAGTTATCCCCCCCGCCCATACTTGCAGCGGGGAAGAGACATTTAAGTCACTTTGACTTATTTTATTGATAAACTCATATAGTAGAAAATCTTCAACATTTCGTGCAAATTCCAAGTATTCATATCTACTACTGCTGCTTTTGTATGTATATTCCCTACACCATTGTTACAGTGGATCCTTGACTTACCAACTCAATTCGCTCAGGAGGACTAGTTTTAACTCAAGTTGGTTGTAAGTCAAGACTATTTTTCCCATAAGAAAAAATGGAAATACCCATAATACATTCTAAATCAAATCACCCCATAACTAAGCTTTTCATAATAAAAAGGATTGTATAATGTGCATAATTTATCAGAAATGCCAATAATTTTCCTAATTATTCACAAAAAGTTATAAAATGTGCCTAGTATAGCAGAAACAAAAATTTCATACTGTACTAACCATTCAAGATGACATCTTTGGCTTGCAGAAAGGGAGGATGAAATGGAAGGTGGTTATGTATTAAGGAGGGAAAGGCCCCTTTCATAACAACATCAGAAATCTGGCTCTCTGGTGTCCTCTCTCCTCGGGAGAGTCTGTAGCCCACTAGGACCTGCTTCTGGCTCACTAGGTCTCAACCTTTTCAGAAATAACAGCTGGTCTAAAGTTGTCTGTTTCTGTCTTTTCTTTAACACCATTCTATAGTATGACATGATGTCATTAAGCAAGTGAATGCAACGATTGGCTTTTTCTGTCTTGGTGGGTCTTCTCTACAAATGTTTGTAGCTCTGTCCATTTTTCCAGGATTTCCTTTATTTTAAAAGAACTTTGCTGCACTGATTGTTGATACTGCCTCTCCTCTTCAGAAAGCTCCTCAGCTGCCATTCTCTGTTGCTCAGCCAGAAGTTGCTGAAGTTCTTCTGTAGACAATTTGTCTGAGTGTTCCTCCACCAGTTCCTCAACATCACCACTGACTACCTGCAAGCGTATGGAGACAATGTCATCAACCACAGGGTCAACTGAAGGCTCAGGCTTTTCTACATAGCCTTCAAAGTCTCTCTCCTGTATAATTTTAGGCCACACTATCTTCCAGGCAAATCTCAGTGTCCTTAGAGAGACACAGACCCAGGATTTCTCAGTTAACCCCGCACAGGAAAGACCAGCATTTGGGTCATAACTCAAGACTTTGGTCTAAGTTAAAATTAAAATTCTATTTATAACCCAAGTTGTTTGTATGTGAGGCTGGCCATAACTTGAGGGTCCACTCTATTCTTATTTTTTAGCAGAAAATGTTATCACAAAGACACAGAGTAAACCTTTCAATCACAGGACGTCATATGCAGTATATCCAAGTATAAGTAAATAGGACAACCTTGTAATAGTCTAAAAGCTTTTTATACTGGTTTGTCCATTTTGGTGTGAGTATCAAATCATTCCTGTTGTAGCTGTGTAACATTTACCCAGCCCAAAAGAGACTATATATAAAGAACACATGTGGGTAATAGATGGGTTCTGGACCAGCAGATCCTCAGTTTTCTTAGTACCATCCACGAACTCAAAGTATTTCTTGGGTATGTGAACAGTAAGAGTGGCATTTATTGCTCATTTTCTCCTCAAAATAGTGTCTCAGAGCAAAACATTCTTACACATTGAACATTTTTTTCCTCAGGATAAATAAGACTAAAAATTGGTGATCTCTTAATAATGCTTCCTGAAAAAGATCAAGAATGCACACCACCCCCTATTTCTTTTCTACATAGAACTGAAGGAACAAGATTAGTTTTCATGCAATCTTTGAACAAGATGATTATAAAAGTGATGACAGTAACTATGTGACTAAGCTTCAGATGATTCACTGTATATAGCCGCTTCACTAAGTCCACAGAGTATGTTTGGTTCTTTACTTGTCTATCTCCCAGAAAGCCTCTTATAACAGAGGAGAGGTTTTCCATTCTTTACCTCATTTTACCCAAGAGCCAGCTGGCAGAGTATGTGTTTATATGGGTAGAGGGACAGGTTTGATTTCTTTAAACAACTTTATCATAGTTGGAGAATACACAGTATCACTTAGAAGTCAAAACACTGAGCCAAGAATTAGTGATCCATAAACACTTAACTTTAATCCATGTTAAATTGTGAACCAAA